CCCGTGGTAGGCATCATCTGCGCTCAAGTGCTCGTCGAGGTAGTCATCGCACTGGCCGCCGCCCCCATTCTCCTCGGCAGGCCCGCCCGGGGGCACTTCCGGGGAGGGAGGGGGGGGGGGGGGGCAGAATGGCGGCGGGGTGCGGTTCTGCAGCGGATCGTCGGGCCGTCACAGGCCGCGCGCGCGCGGAGCAGCCGCGGTGGGGGGGGGCGGCGGGGTGCCTCAGGGCGCCCATGGCCCCCCCTTTCGGACAGATAGAGAGCTACACTTTGGGCGAGTGGATTAGTTTCTCTCGCGGATCCCGAAATTTCAAAATTAATTTTGGGCTATCGTTCCAAAGTTTGTTTTGCCCGCCATTCGGGGGGGGGTCATCGCGTTTGTCGGATTTGCGAGGGCCTCGACGTCGCTAGCCAGAGTCGGCGTGGAATCAGAAATAACAACTCGCGATTAGGAGGCGGAGGCGGAGCGCGCATATCTTTTAAATTCCTCGAAACATCGTCACCAGGCGAGTTGCCCTGATCACGGGGGGGGCAAAGAGGATGGAGGGATCCAGAACAAGGTCAGAGGTCGTAGCGACCACCAGCGCTCGTGGGACCCATGATGGGCTACAGGAGGAACCCCCAGTGCCCCCCAAACGCCCCAGGGGGGGCCCAGACGCCACGACCTCCAGATCGAGACCAGATGTCGTGGCGAGCAGGTGCGCTCCTGGGACCTCCCGAGCGCCCCAGGAAGAATCCAAGACCCCGCCAAGCGCTCCAGGATACCCCCAAGACGCTACGACCTCAGATTGCGGCTGGAGGTCGTGGAGCGCTCTTGGGGCCCCCAGGGACCTCGTTGCGTGCCCTTGGCCGCAGTTGGGTCCCTTTCGGGCATCCCCGGGACGTCCAGCCTCCGCCGCCCTGAGGGCGGCTGGGATTTCAGTGGCCCCTGCCCCCCTGACTCTGCGGGGAGGCGCGGCGACGCCCCCGACCTGTACCCTGCTACTTTCGCTAGGTGCCGGTGTATACGTGCTCGCCCCGCTCGAGACATCCAGCACGTTCAGAACTACACTTAGCCAGGCGCTAGGTGCAATTCTGTACGTGCTGGTTTCGCCAGGGACATCCTCACAAAACAGAGCACTCATATAACTACACCTAGCCAGCGGGGCGGGGTACATGTCGGGGGCGCGACTCGCGCTCCCGACGTGTACCGTGCCCCGGCCGCTAAGTGTAGTTCTGTACGTGTCCCCTTTTGGCGAAGCATCGGCTGCCCGTGCTGCCCATCTCCGAGGCCCCGCCCCCAGGGCCGCTCCCCGCCGACTTCCCACTTCCTCAGGCTCAGCGAAACCACCTGCATGGCCGCTGTCCTTTTCCGCCTCGCACTGCCCGCTGCCCTTCCCCGCCTCTGCCCCAGTATGATGACCCCAGTGTTTTCTGTGCTTTGGGGCGCCGCTTTGCCTCAGGCGTGATCTCCTCCCTCGTCTCGTGTCTCCGTGCCTTAGCAGCCTCTTTCATTATGTCCTTCCACTTCCACCTCATCCCCGTGTCTCGCCAAGTTTTGTAGCCGCGATCGGTTCTATGCGTGCCGTAAGTAAATGCCTGGCCAGACGCCCCACGCCTTCGAATTCTTTTCCGCGCTGGATCCCCCCTCCACGGATGAAGCGGCAGTTCGCGTTATCATTTCCTGTTGCAGCAGCCGCTTAGCCCCGCCGTGAAACATGCTGATAGTTGCAACGCTTGGCGCCCCACGTGTTTCGCATGACCAGCGCTCCCCGTCGTAGGTCGCGAGGCGGCGCCCGTCCACCCAGACCGACCAGCGCGCCTAACCGAATTTTGATTGCCCCCCTGGTCCCCGCAACTGGGTGGAGTTTTGCTAAGTGTAGTTTTTGATGTGTTCGACCCTTCCGCGGCGCCCTCCTGCGGGGGTGGCTCGGGGGCCCGTGCCGCCGCGGGCCCCTGGAGCGGCAGGGTCGGGCCTGCGCGCGCGCGTCCGCCCTCTGCAGGCTGGGCGCGCCCCTTGATGCCCGAAGCAGGGGGCGGCGGGCCGCCCGCGCACGTGAGATGGAGCCACTCGTTGCCCGCGTGGGACGTCGAGCCCACGGGGCGAGCGGCAGCCGCCGCGACTCGCCACTCGCCCGCGTCGGCCCCCACCACGCAGCGCGAGCAATGGGCCTGCTTGCCGCGAGCGGGCTGGAGGCTGACGCACCAGCGGGTGGTTCTGCCGCCCGTCGCGCGGCGGCGCCGCCGCGCGGGCTGGCCCTCGTCGTCGCGCGTGGGCGCGTCGGCCGCAGCGCCCGCCGCAGCGTTGGCCTCGGCGGCGCCAGCGTCGAGAGCACGCGGGGTGACCCTGGCGCTCTCGACGGCGGCCGCGGGGGCGGAGGCGCGAGCCCGCTCTGGCGATGCCGCGTAAGTATTCCCAGCCGCGCGTTCACCAGCTCTTGCGTCTGCGGCGCCGCTGGCGGCCGCCGCCGCGCCCCGGCCCCCCCCTGCAGGGGCGAGAGAAGGCGCGCGTAACAAGTGGGCGACGTGGAAGGAAGGTGCCTGCCACCAGCGGTTTGAAGGTTGCAAAAGCAGCAGTGCCCCGCGCCCGCAGGCCCCCAGAGCTTCGGAGGGGTACAACAGCAACTACTGCTACTACGACGACGGCTGTTACTACTACTACTACTGCTACTACTACTACTACTACTACTACTACTACTACTACTACTACTACTACTAGTGCTACTGCTTCTGCCACTACTACCATGCACTATTACTACTACTATTATTACTGTTACTACTACTACTACCACTACTATCACTACTACTACTACCACTACTACTACTACGACGACTACTACTACTACTACTACTACTACCATTATTACTACTACTACTACTACTACCACTACTATCACTACTACCGCTACTACGGCTACTACTGCTACTACTATTACTATTACGAATAATATGATTATTATTACGACTATTATTATTACCACCACAATTACTACTACTACTACTACTACGACTACTACGACCACTACTACTACTACTACTACTACTATAGTACTAGTACTACTACTACTACTACTACTACGACTACTACGAATACTAATACTAATACTACTACTACGACTAGTACTACACCAACAACAACTACTAATACTACTACTACTACTACTACTATAATTATTGCCACTACTACGACTACTACTACTTCTACGAACTACCACGGCGACTAATACTACAACAACAACTACTACTACTACTACTACTACTGCTACTACGACTACTACTACCAGAACAAGAAAAAACATATAAACACAAAGGTTCGCATTGATTTTCCGACGGAAGGGGGCGTCGTTGAGAGGGCGCCCGGCACGGATGCGGGGATCGGGGTGGCGTCGGCGTTTGGAGCTGGCGGTTTGCGCGGCAAGTGCGTTTAGCTGGTCGCATTTGTTCGGGGCGCGTTACGGGTGGAAAGGCCGCTCGCCGGCGACCGGCAGTCCTCTGCCCGCGGGCCAGAACAATTGGTCGCGCGCTCGCAACGGGGCGCGGGAAAGGGAACTGGGAAGAGAGCGCGAGTCTTATTCCCAAGAAGTCCCTTCGATGGGCAGCAAGCAATTATTTCCTTTGGTTATGAGCGCCCTTCGGGTCACAATTCTGAAACTTCTGCAACTTTTGGAACTTTTGGAACGCGTGAAACTTTCGAAACTTCTGCGACGTTTGGATTTTTTTAAATATATATATATATATATATATTGAATTTCTGGAACTTTTGGAAGATTTGGAACTTTTGAAAGACTTGAAACATTTGAAACTTGTGAAACTGGTGAGACCTTTGAAACATGTGAAACCTCTGATTTGTTTGAGACCTTTGGTATTTTTGATGATGTTGGATATGGTGAAGCTTCTGGAATTGTTGAAACATGTGACACGTGAAACTTTTGAAACTTGTGATGCTTTTGAATATGTCAAAAGTTGTTCAAATGTCTCAAAAGTTTTAGAAGTTTCAAACGTTTTCAAAGGTTTCAAAAGTTTCAAACGTTTCAACAAGTTTCGTCTGTTTCAACTGTTTCAGAAGTTTCAAACATTTCAGAGCACCCAGGATCTACATACGATCCTGCACAAGGTCCAGAAATCACATGCAACCTGGAGACCTGTGAAACGTTTGGAACCTTTGCATGTTTGGAAACGTGTCAAACTTTGGAATCTCTTGAAACGTTTAATACATGATCTTTCACATTGTGTTATAAACTAGTTTTTAATTTACGTACTAATTTTCTTTATTTCATAATGTATATAGAGATCATGTCAAATAATATATACGTATACGTATGGATATGTATATAAATACACACATATATATACACTCCTACAGTATAATGACACTGAACGTCATCATTCTTCCATAGATCTATGTATATATTACATAGCATAGTATTCAAATAAAAGATATTGAATTCATTATAGAAGATTTTATATGGTATATTGTATGTAGTACACAGTATCGCTAGTCGTATATATAGTGTGGTACATAATATAGTATGATACGTGTTGCAGCACATAAACTATATTATATTAGTATTTATTGTATATCATACATGATGTACATGTATGCAGTACATATAGTGTGTATTATTATACACCAATGTTGATTAACTTGTATCCACATGTAATATCTAACATCTATAATATAGCATATAATGTACGTATTTTCATATCAAATATCGTATATACGAAATTCAGTATTGTACGTCGTGTATGTGTATTTATATTGGTTACATGGTAGTATCATGTATATGAATCTTAAATGTTACAATACGTATATACATACACAATATTATCACAGCGTGCCGCCGCTATCACGCTGACAATCCGAACCACGCAAGCGCTGCGTCCCGAATGGTTTTGCCGCCCGCAACTGTTCGCAATCGAGATCGCAGATCCCGGCTGGCACCCAAGCTCCACGACACCATACCCCCCCCGCTCTTCTAATCGCGCCGCCCCCGTGCGACGCGCGGGCTGCCCGTTCGCGCGTCAATCGCCGCCGACCTCCTGCTCCTTCGCGCCCGAGGTGCGCTCTTCTCCGCCGGCGGCGCTGCGCTTGTTCCCGCAGCGGGTCTCGAGCTTCTGGGCCCCCACCTTCTCGATCG